CGTCGCCTGCGTGGGACACGCCTCCAGCCCCGCCTCTACAGGCTGGAGGCCCCCGTGGTTCCGCCTCCCTGCCCTCGGTAGCCTACCAGGCCCCGCCCCGGCCCATTTCCTCCAGCCCCCACTCCTGAAGCCCCGCCTCCTCCGCCATCTTGGCCCCGCCCCGCCTCACGGGTTTCTCCGGATGGTCCGGCTGAAGCTTTCTCCCGGGGCTGGTTCGGACCCGAGTGCTCGCCTTCATTTTCCGCCAGAGGCCGACGTTTTTCTCTCTAACGCGCAGGCCAGGTCTAAAAATTCCCTCAGGGCCTCTAGGAATCCTCAAACAGCGCCTCACGAGGCCTCAGGTTTTCGCCTGTGAAATGAATTAGAGCTGGAACTTCTAGGAGCTGCCTGTGCTCTAAGAAAGCAGGTTTCACGAGGTCACACGTTTCCTCCCAGTCTCCTGCAATTTCCTTTGAAAACAGCCTGTTGAAAAAGAGTGAGTGGCAGGTAGAGCAACTTTCTCAGGAGATCGTGAATAGATCGGGCCCAGGGCTTTGCTGCTCAACAGAGAGTTCAATTCGTCTCAATATTACTGTCATCTCTTGAACCTGACAAAGCTTTTTAAAAAAATCATTACTTCTCATCTGTAAAAACAGCTTCAGTATCTCTTCTGATTTTAACCTAATACTGTCGGCTCTGTTTAATCCTTTACAAGGTTGAATCATTCTGTTTTTTGATTCTTACTTAAAAAGATTCAGCCCAGAGATGCTTTAAAATTCCACGGATTTTAAATGGCTGATCTGATGAGTTCTTCTAAATTTTTAATTGGATAAATAAAACACGAATCACTTAATGAAGCTGTAAAATATTCGACCATTGTACAAAAACATTCTGCTCTATTCCACACCAGCCACAATTCTGCTTCACACCAAACAGTTATCAGTCTGTCGAATACTGTATACATTTTTCTATACATTTACAAACATCAAAGTGTCTCTAGAAATGGTTTTGTTGCATTTATATGTGTGTTTATGGCAGCACACTACAAATCGGTATGCGTATTAGCTCTTTAAGCGTTTTCCACTTACCAGTATGATGTGATGAACTTTCATTCTTTATACTGCAGTATAGTATGTTTGGGTATTAATATGCCAATAGTTTATTTCCTTATTACCCTACTGATGGGCATTTACTACCAATTCTTCTGCTATTACCAAAAGAAAAAAAAAGAGCCATAATAAACCTCCTTATTCATGCCTTGTGTTATGGGCTGAATTGTACCCCCCCGAATTTCATATGTTGAAGTCCTAACTCCTCAGGACCTCAGAATGTGACTGTATTTGTATACAGGATCTTTAAAGAGGTAATTAAGTTAAAATGTTGTTAGGGTGGACCCTAATCCAATATGACTGGTGTCCTTGTAAAAGAAGAGGAAATTTGGACACAGTCATGTATAGAGAGACCACGTGAAGACACAGGGAGAAGATGGCCATTTACAAGCCGAGGAGAGAAGTCTCAGAAGAAACCAACCCTGCTGACACCTTGATCTGGGACTTCGACCCTCCAGAACAGTGAGAAAATAAATTTCTGTTGTTTAAGCCACCTGGTCTGTACTTTGTTATGGCAGCCCTTAGCAAGCTAATATATCTTGCTTGGATAGGTTTATAGGCTACATATAAGAGAAAACTGAATTTGTAAAAAAGTGGCTTAAACAAGACAAGAGAGTGTTGTTGTTACTGTTTGATTTTTCTTTCACAGAAACAGTTGGATACTAAGCATCTAGGGCTGGTATTTTGGCTCTTTGGTCATCTGGGGCACCTAGTCTCTTTCTCATCCTGTTCCATCATACTGGCCTGTGGCTTCCATCCTCAATGTCACAAGTTCCTAAATAGCTACTGGAGCCCTAGCCATCAAGATGACATTCATCCAGAGGAAAGAGGAAGGAAGGAAAGCCAATAGGAGCACACCTTTTAATGGAGTCAGCTTCTTTTGCTTTTGTTTTTTTGTTTTTTGCGGTACACGGGCTTCTCACTGTTGTGGCCTCTCCCGTTGCGGAGAACAGGCTCCGGATGCGCAGGCTCAGCGGCCATGGCTCACAGGCCCAGCCGCTCGGCGGCATGCAGGATCCTCCTGGACCGGGGCACGAACCCGCGTCCCCTGCATCAGCAGGTGGACTCCCAACCACTGCACCACCAGGGAAGCCCGAGTCAGCTTCTTTTAAGCAGCCTACTTGGATGTTCCACACAGCACTTCTGTTTACATCTCAAGGGCTGGAACCTAGCCTTCTCAGGGAGGCTGTCTTCTGGCTGTCTACATTGTCACTCCAAATAAAACTGGGATTCTGTTATTAAGGGAAAAGAGGAAGTGGACGTTGAACAGGTAACTATTAGTTAACAGTGTCTGCCTCACCTTCAAGCTTAGGACCACTGAAGTTTAAAGCTCTCCCACTGTAGGGTGGCTGATATCGTGCATACATCTGTATGTATACACGCTGTGCCATTTCCGATTGACATTGAGCAGAAACAACTCATAAGAAAAAAATAGTTTTTGTCTTTTCTTTCCTTTTCTGAAATCATAGGGGAAATGTCATAAGCTTTCTCCCAGAGCGCATTGCTCCACCCAGTGGCTCAGTGCCCTGTCCTGGTGCAGTCATGCTAAAAAACATGCACAGCTGTGGCTGATCATGCGCTCTGCTGGGAGGGGTCACCCTGGTCATTTTGCCAGCTGCCAAGTTAAGGTGCAAAAGTGCTGGGATTCCTGGTCCGTAGTATCTAGTGATACAGAAAAAAAAAAAAAAAGGCGTTTAGTGTTTTACAGAAATTGTTGGAGTTGTGTAAGACAAAATTCCAGGGCTCCTTTCATCTAAGGAGGAAATCAATTCAGTTTATTATCCAGTGATGTGCAAACATGTGGATTGATTGCATTTTCACCAATTTGAGGTTTGGAACTTGATTCAGTTCAACCCTGCGAGAGTGTATTTTTACTAAGGGTCTACTGTCAATCAAGAACCACATGGGGGCACTGATGGAAAGATTACTATAAGAAAGTCCCTGCACTAAAGAGCCTGCAAGCTAGCAGGGGACATAAACAATACACAGTAAGTATAATGCAGATTGCAGGAGGTCAGGACTTGACGGGATAATATGATGATAATAATATCCTTATTCTAAACAAGAGGAAACCCCGGTTTTGGAACGGCATCATTTGTCTGAGGTCACACGGCTTGTGAAATGGCAGGCAAGAATCCCAGCCCAGGTCTATTGGATGACGAGGTGTATCTCTCTCCCAGCGTAGCACCATCTCTATCTGGGTTAATCGTCAAGGCACTCAGGAGAGTTAAACTGGAGGCCAGATGGAAGACCCGTTGAAAAGGAGTCTGGAGGCGGGAATGCTCAGATGGGATGAGATAAGAGCGTGAACCTGATCTGAGGCTGTGTAGTAGGGCAGGAGAGGAGGGGACAGAAGTGAAAGAGATTGTGTGGTCATGGCTTAAATGCGGCCACCATTGCCCCGGGGTTTAATACTAACCGTACCTCTAAGTGGTTCAGTGACTGCAGATGGTAAAATCAAGCCCCCATCTACTCTCCATCTTAGGTGGCCTCAGCTGGGCTCCTCCTGGCTTGTGTCATGCCACAGCACACAAGGATGTCTAGCAATATCTGCAATCAAGCAGGGATGATATTCAAACTATTGAAAAACTGGAATGGCACAGTTTCCAGCTATTCAGGACCGAGAGGGTACCCTGTACCCTGAAGGGTACAGCTCGGTTCTGGAGGCTCTGGGGTGCCAAATATTAACCTTTAAAGACTGAATAATGGGGAATCATGGGAAGAGGGTCCTGAGGTTGGGGCTGAGGCAGAGACAGGGGAGGCCATGACCATTTATCATTCTTTACTTTAGTACTTTTTACCTCGGTGCAAGAAGAGTCCCCACGTATCTCCTGAGCTTTATATTTACTCACATGTAGCAGCTAACTGATTATCTTTTGACTACAATTACAGATTTCCAGGAGAGGATGTGATTGGCCCAGGCTTGGGTGGGTGTCTGTTCCTGGTCACCATCATTACTTGTGAACAGGAGAGCAGGACTCGTATCATTAAATTTAACACTTAAAACTTCTGTTTGCAAAAGGGAAAGGGGTGGGGTGGGGTGGGAGGAATTGGGACACTGGGATTGACACATATTGTTATTGACACTATGTATAAGATAGACAGCTGATGGGAACATACCTATAGCACAGGGAACTCTAGTAATGCACTGTGGTGACCTAAATGGGAGGGAAATCCAAAAGGGAGGGGATATCTGTATGTGTATGGCTGGTTCATTTTGTTGTGCAGTGGAGGCTAACACAACATTGTAAAGCAACCATACTCCAAAAACAAAGAAACAAGCAAAAAAAACTTGTGTTTGGGCTTCCCTGGTGGTGCAGTGGTTGAGTCCCCCTGCCGATGCAGGGTACATGGGTTCGTGCCCTGGTCCGGGAAGATCCCACGTGCCGCTGAGCGGCTGGGCCCGTGAGCCATGGCCGCTGAGCCTGTGCGTCTGGAGCCTGTGCTCCACAATGGGAGAGGCCACAGCACTGAGAGGCCCGCATGCGTCAAAAAAAAAAAAAAAAGGGGGGGGGGGACCCACATAAATGCACCGATGCTCCTAAAATACTGATTGATACTGTTCTCTTCACCAACATGTAAGAAAAAAAGTCTAGTTTCAACTGAAATTCTCAGAATAATACACTTAATTCAAATTGTCTATAATACTGCAATTGTCTTGAAAATTTATGGAAGTGATTTGAGTTTCTCTCCTAAGAGGAAAAGGTAGGAATTTTATCTGTGTTATCTGAAACATCACCTATACGTTGCAGCACAGATATATGCAATTACGTTTAGAGAACTCACAATATCTGTTTCCAAAGAATTAGCTTCCTGGACCCTCCAAAACAAGCTGGTAAGAGAAATGGGGTGAACACACTTGCTAAGCAAAGGCCAAGCATTCAATCTTAGAGCTGTGAGCAGTAGATCACGATCACACACAGGCCGCGCCCCTGCTGTGGGTTCATGAATGTCCATGACTCTCTGTCCCTTACTGAGTAAGAGCTGCGGGCAACAGGATTTTGGTTCAATGAAAGGATGCCTTCCTTGCAGAGAACTGCAAATGAATTAATTCATTAATTTATTATTTCCACAGACATTTATTTACAACCACGCAATGCACTGGGTGTGGGGAAGAGATGAACAGATCAAGTCCTGTCCTTAAAGAGATGACAGGGTGGTGGGGAGAGAGTTAAGCTGACAGTTACAAATACACTATGCTCATGGTCACACTGAAGCTGGGCACACAGCACAGTAGGCACAAAGGGACAGATGCCTGAGTATGTCTAGGGGTCAGGGAGGCTCCACGTAAAGGATCTGGGGAGCCTAGATCTCAGTACTTATTTTTTCTCCCCTACAGAGTTCTGGAAAATGGAAAATACATCCAAAGATCATTAACCAGTAGGGAAATGGGGTAGAGAATTTATCTGTGAAAGCAACCTTCACCTCCATGTAGGGATCCCTGGTAAACTAGATCGCAGAAAGTTCCAGATCTCCCAGATCTTCGGACCTGAAGGCTCAGGTGTGCCTGCCATGCTGTGACTGGCCCTACACACAGGCCTCTCTCACACACTCAGCTTCAGGTGAACAGAGAGACAGCACGGAGGGAGGGAGGGTGGAAGGTTGGGGGGAGGGTGGTATCTGGGAGTGATGGATGAGATCCTGCCCAGGTGCTCTTATTGTATGGAAACAAAATACACCAGAAAGAGGACATGCTGGGTTAGGAGAGTGACCTGTCACACAGTGACCCTGCTCCTTAAATGAGCTGTGGTCCAATGTATGTCAGACCGTCACTCATCACCTGTGGGGATTAGTGAATCAGGGAGGAGGAGGGTTAGGGGCAAATTTTTCCAGATATAAATTTCTCTCCTTTAGAAGAGACATTGAAAGGAAGATATTAAGGATGATGCTTGGCCCCGTGTAAGAAAGAATGCCTGAGAATGAACTGGCCCACCTAAGAGCACAAAAACAAAACAGAGCGACACTGCTGCAAAGGAAATATACATTAAGGCAGAGAATGCCCCTTACTGACCACCAGGTGGCACTGTAGACCAGGCACAGCTTTGTTGTTAGTCTGCTAAAATCTGGAGTGCAGTGTGAAAGTTGGGTATCAAAACCTAATAGGGCTAGAAACATACAATGGGAAATTATTCAGTCTTAAAAGGGAAAAAAATTCGGACACACGTGACAGTATCAGTGAACCACAAAGACATTATTCTAAGTGAAATAAGCCAGACAGAAAAGGACAAATATTATATGATTCCACTTATATAAGTTACTTAGAATAGTCACATTTATAGTGATAGAAAGCAGAATGGTGGCTTCCAGGGGAATGAGGAGTTATTGTTCAGTGGGTACAGAATTTCAGTTTGAGAAGATGAAAGGTTTCTGGAGATGGATGGTGGTGATGATTGCACAACAATGTGAACGCACTTAATACCATGGATCTGTGGCTAGGTTCACAAAAATGGCCAAATGGTAAATTCTATGTTATGAATATTTTACTACACACACACAAAAAAATCAGAGGCTCATACTGTTGTCTTATACCTGCTTAAAGTCCAGGTGGAGGATGCACCTACTGGAATAGGCAAAGAAGGAAGGACAGGATTTTTCCCTAATCTGGCCTTTGTCATTTCCACCTTTCCTCCCCAAATCCTCAGTCAGCTATTTGCATCTTGTTCATTCATTTATTTATTAAATGCCTACCACGTGTTGGCCCTGAGCTGGGCACTGAGAATACATTCTCCAGTGGCCAAGCCATTTTCTGTACAGCCCCCAGCTTCTTGCTGTCTGTTCCATTCCCCTTCCGCCAGCCAGTCCTTCAGCCCACAACTTTGCACCTTGCTTCTGTCAATTTTCACTTTAATGAAGAATACTTTGCACGGTACCTTTGGTTCATATCATATGTGAATTTTAAAAGAGGATTAGAAGGAGTACCGGGTGATGTTTTCTACAGAAAAAGCCCTTACTGCTGTGAGTCTAGGGGTAGATGCTGCCTTCCTCTGTTAATCCAGTTAGACGAAAATATGCTTCAGCAACAAACAACCTTCAAATCTCAGTGGCTTCACAGTGACTTTACTTTTTGCTCATGTTACATGTTCCACACAGTCAGTAGAGGGTCTGCTCCATGGTCGCCTAGGCTTATGGAGGCTCCATCAACTTTCAGCTGCACCACCTAGAACAGGCTCCCGAACTGATGACATGGTCCTGCCTAATTGAGAGTGAGTACCACTCTCTCGACTCTAGTTTCTTGACTCTGTGCTCTCACTATACCAATAGGGAAGTTGTGATGACCTGTTTTCCCTGTTGCTCTCTCTGGACTCTACTCTTCAGAGGGGGGTAGAGCCCTCACATTACTTATTTTCTAACAGGGCCTGGCACACGGTAGGTGCCCAGTGTTTGTAGAGTGGATGAAAGATGGCACAAAGTAAAGGTGACCTAGAGGAAGGTGGAGTCAGTATCTGCAAAGGATTAGTTTAGGAAGAGATGCCATATCTGAAAAATGAAGCAGGTAGGGCCAAGAAACCAATCCTATCCGATTTTAAAAACTAAACCAAACGTCACTGAATATAGCGAGACATTTTATGTGTCACACAGCTCATTGTTGGGGTACAAGATTTCCAGCAACACTCACCAAAGAAAGTGCCTATGTAGAAGAAAAGGAAGAGGTCAGGTGCCCCTGACCTCAGCAGCACCAAGTGGCTTTGGAAAAAAAATTCCCTGATCCCAGAGCAGTTTCATGAGTAAACTAGGCATGGAGGGAAGGGTCTGACTTTCTCATAAGTTTTCAGAGCTAAGTCGGACTAGGATGCTATTCCTGGGTTACCATGGAAAGACCTTGACTTATCCAACAGTTTTTCTCTGGTAGAAAAATAAAAGGGATTAATCCTACAGGAATTGCTACTAGTTTAGAAAATCAGCAGTTTTATTGGCCTTGGTTTGCAAAATAAGTGGGTTCATTTAGATTTTAGAAGATATATAAGGACCCTTTAAGTTACTGATATAAGCAGGGTGACTATCCATTTAGGTTTGGATCTGTTGTTACCACTTAATTTATTAGTAACATGTCTCACAGTCACTCTCGAAACTGTTTCGGGTTGGACAATAAATTGCAAGTTCATCCTAGTTACAAGTGACATTTACAACTGGTTGAAAAAAGGTGACACCAGGTCCGAGGAAGGGGCAGAAGAACAAACCTTTCCGTTGGCTGAACACACTCAGCTTGTGCTGGGCTGGGCACCTAGACGTGTTTCAGGACTAAGAGGTGGGGGGACCCCTGGGTGGGGGGAATGGGGGAAGCCTAGATGCTTCAACCACTTTCTGAAGAGTAAGGACTGGGTAAAATGAAAATGAGGTTGGCGGTTGGCTCCCTGCTCATGCATTTGCTCTCTTCTTGACCTTAGGAAGGCACTTAAGGCACCTGAGCATCACTTTCCTTATCTGTAAAATGGGAATAATAATGTTTACCTTCAAAGGCTGTTTCTCTAATTTCACTGCGGCCACTAATTCCATTATACAGCTGGAGACACAGAAGTTATGAGAGGGCAAACTGTGCCGGTGAAGCCTCATAAGTCTAAGAGCTACATTTATGAGCCCAGTACTCAGGCGGTCAGTCCACAGTATCTGATTTCGAAAGGAGAAAACGGATACTTGGAGAGATAACTTGCAAAAGGTCACACAACTCATAAATGGCTGGGGGAAGACTGACCCCAGGAAGTCTGGTTCAAAGTTCGCGCTCTAACTATACAAGGGCTATTTAGTTAAAGGGCGGAAGCGGGAAGCGTCTAGCCCGGCTCTGCGGACTCCATCTCCAGGTCTCTTCTCATCCCGCACAGCCCCTCCAGAATCCCACCGTGGAAGAGGATCAAACACGACAAAGGGCGGGGGAGAGCTTGGCAAACCGGTCGACGTCCCGCAAAAAGCGATGACCGGACCCCAGCAAACCTCTAGCGGATGGTATCGAGTGTCCTCCTCCCTTCGGTCCGGAACACAGGCCACCTTTTAGACTTGCTCCCTGGGCGGGGAGGAGGCGTGGAGCCCCCCGGTTGGGCTGAGAGTTTACGTATGGCCAACTGGCGGCTGCGGCCCGGTCTCCCAAGGGTGTGCGCCGAGCCCCCAGCCCGGGCGGGCCTGCCTCCGGTCCGCTCCCCCCGACTCTCCGCCGGGGACCACCGGCCGGGCGCTGCCGGCGTCCGCGTTGGGCTGGGGCGTCCCCCCGCTGCCACCCAGCTTCCCGGGGGAGGAGCAGCGCATCGCGCAAGCATCCGGGAGCGGCGGAGGGGGCGGGAGGAAGGGCGAGAGGAGGAAGCGGGATTTAAACGAAAGGCGGTGACGCCACACAAAAGATTTCTATAGGCTCCAGGGAGGTTACGGCCGAGGCGGCGGCGGCGGCGGCGGCGGTGGCGGCGAGCTGGGGGGCGAGGCGCGGCCGGGAAGAGGAAAAGCCTCCAGCAGCCCCGGAGGGCGAGCGGGCGGTGGCGCACCCACGGCCGCGCTCAGAGGTGAAGCCGCGCGGGGAGAGGAAGCGGGTGTTTTCCCCTCTGCTTTTCGGCCCCCGCCCTTCCTTTCAGTTTCTCCCGGCTCGCTCGGAAGTTGGAGGTTGACAAAAATGGCAGGAGCCGGGGCCCGGGCGAGTTGCCGCAGCGCCGCGGGGACCTTCTGAGTTGGCCGGGCCGCCGGGGAGACGCGCGCGGCGACGTCCGATGCGCAGGGCCCGGGGTCTCGGGAGAGCTCAGCCGCTGCGGGCCCAAGGCGAGGCGGAGGCGACGGGGATGGACTCGCGCCGACAGCCGGCGGCGGGCCGCGGGGCGCGCGGTCCGAGAGGGCGTGCCGCCTCGGCGCCGGGCCGCGCTCTGTGAACCGGCGAGGCGGGAAGGGGCCGCCGCGGCTCCCGGCACGCCCGGGCGCGGCGGGCGGGCGAGAGCGCGAGCGGGGCGGCTGCTGAGCGCAATCAGTGCAGGCTCCCGCCCGACTCTGACTCGGCCGCGCCAGCATCGGCCACACCCTCGGCCCTGCCGCCGCCGCCGCCGGCGCCGCTTCCCGAGAGCGGGAGGCAGGAGATGCCCACGGGGTGGCCGCGCGTCCCAGAGGGTCAGCCGCGGCCGCCGTCGCGGGGAAGTGCCGCCTGGCGGTGTCTGGGCGCCTGAAGCCCACGTGCGCCGCCGAGCCCGAGGTGGCTGACAGCAGAGCCCGCCTGAGACGCCGCCCGCGCTCCTCCCCGAGGAAAGGATTTTGATTTCAAAGGAAGGAAGGAAGGACAACTCCCAGCTTCCCTCTCCCGCCCCCCTCCCCCCCCCTCCCCCGCTCGGGCGGTCGGACCGGGCCATGCCCAGGAAGGCGGCGGCGGCGGCGGCGGCGGCAACCCAGCAGAAGGGACTTTCCTGGCAGTCCGGCGACGAGGAGCGCGGTCTGTGAGTTTGCTCTGCTCCGGTTCATGGTTCCTGCAAGCCCTCCAAGAGGCCGAACGCTGCGCCCCCTCCCCGCGCCCCGAAGAGCCTCCTGCGTTCTCTGGCCCCCGGGCCCGCTCCGCGCCGCCCGGGCTCCGGCCGCCGCAGCCCAGTGCCCTCTGCCCGCGGCGGTGGATGGCATGATGGTGCGGGGAAGGCACCGCGGCCTTGGCCAGCTGAGTCGCGACGGCCGCGGGGGCGGCGGCATCGGCAGCGGCGGTGGTAGCGGGCTCCCCAGCGGCATGCCAGTGCCCCCCGGGCGCGATGGCTAGCGGCAGCGCTGGGAAGCCCACTGGCGAGGCGGCTTCTCCGGCTCCAGCGAGCGCCGTCGGCGGGGCTTGCTCGCAGCCCCGGAAGAGGCTGGTGTCTGTCTGCGACCACTGCAAGGGCAAGATGCAGCTGGTGGCCGACCTGCTGCTGCTGTCGAGCGAGGCGCGGCCCGTGCTCTTCGAGGGCCCCGCCTCCGCTTGTGCCGGCGCCGAGTCCTTCGAGCAATGCCGGGACACCATCATCGCGCGCACCAAGGGGCTCTCCATCCTCACCCACGACGTGCAGAGCCAGCTCAACATGGGCCGCTTCGGGGAAGCGGGGGACAGCCTGGTGGAGCTGGGAGACCTAGTGGTGTCCTTGACCGAGTGCTCCGCCCACGCGGCCTATCTGGCGGCTGTGGCCACGCCGGGCGCGCAGCCCGCGCAGCCGGGCCTGGTGGACCGCTACCGCGTGACACGCTGCCGCCACGAGGTGGAGCAGGGCTGCGCAGTGCTGCGCGCCACCCCGCTCGCCGACCTGACCCCGCAGCTGCTGCTGGAGGTGTCGCAGGGCCTGTCGCGCAACCTCAAGTTCCTGACGGACGCGTGCGCCCTGGCCAGTGACAAGTCCCGGGACCGCTTTTCGCGCGAGCAGTTCAAGCTTGGCGTCAAGTGTATGAGCACGAGTGCGTCGGCGCTGCTGGCCTGCGTGCGCGAGGTGAAGGCGGCGCCCAGCGAGCTGGCTCGGAGCCGCTGCGCGCTCTTCAGCGGGCCGTTAGTGCAGGCGGTTAGCGCACTGGTGGGCTTCGCCACCGAGCCGCAGTTCCTGGGTCGCGCGGCGGCCGTGAGCGCCGAGGGCAAGGCGGTGCAGACCGCCATCCTCGGCGGCGCCATGAGTGTGGTGTCGGCCTGCGTGCTCCTGACCCAGTGCCTCAGGGATCTGGCGCAGCACCCCGACGGGGGCGCCAAGATGTCGGACCACAGGGAGAGGCTGAGGAACTCGGCCTGCGCCGTGTCTGAAGGCTGCACCCTGCTATCTCAGGCTTTAAGGGAGAGGTCTTCGCCCAGGACTTTACCGCCAGTGAATTCCAATTCTGTGAATTAGCACCCTCCCACCCTCGTCCCATTCTTCCACCACCCCCCCAGGCTAAAGGAAGATACTTATTCTCTGCCCCTCTCCATTTATACCAAAGAAATCAAAAGTGAACTCCCCCACCCCATGTTAAATGCTCGAGAGGAATCTTCCAGGAGGCAGGGCCATGCAGACCATTTACACACGCACTCGCACTCGGAGGGCCCCCGGTGCCCAGCAGCCCACACCAGGAGATGGAAGATGTGTCATCTGCTGGTTGCGGTATTACCCCTGCCCCTTACCCCGGCTCCTCTTCCGGAATTCCTCCACTAAATTTTATTATTAATTGGGCAGGAAGGAGGTCATGGGTTCATTTCTTTTTTGGTCTTCCCCCCCCCCCCAATTAAGAGAAAGGTTACCTCAGTTTTCTCTCCTTAGACATGGATGTAGCTAACTTTTTTGTATGTTGTTATTTTTTTAAGCAGTCGTGATGGGTTAGGCGTATACTTGGTGTGGAAAGAGTATGACTTTGCCATGTGATTTGCAAATGGGGGGAAAAGCTACTGTGAGTGTGTGTTTTATTTTTTAATTTACACTATAGAATGATTCCCCCCCCCCAATGTCAAGTTTTTACCTTGCATGTACTGGAGTATTTATTTCATCTATTAATAAAATGTTATGTTTCTCAGATGGCTTTTTGCAAGTATTGTTGATTTTCAATCATTGTAATGTTGCAGGCTGCATGTCATCTATGGAAAGATGCCCTGGAAAGTTTGCTTGGGAGCAATGAGGTGGGTTCCCAATCTTCAGCCCTTTCTGCTTTTTCGTCAAGAGTTAACTTCTTTGAGCAGCCTAGAATTCAAGAAGAGGGAACTGTGTGTAACACTCTCCTTGTAGAGGCAGGGGACACATTTATGGTTGGATTACGTATAGTGCTAGAGTGGGGTTTTTTTTTCCTGTTTCTCCTGGAAAGTAGTTTTGCTTCCTTTGTCCCCTCTGATTTTTCTGTTCTAATGAACAGGGTTCAGACTGACTGCAGTCTGATTTGTATTCTGCCTGTCTTTTTCAGGGTAAGCCTCTTCCTAATCCTGTGTGGAATGCCAGCCTTCCCAGGTCAGAGAATCTGTGTATGGACCTGCAAAAGTACTGTACATCAAGCGAGAGTATGTAGACAGGTCTGTTCAGACAAGATCCAGTTGCTTATGATTTTAGGAGAAAAAAACAACACAAAAGCGTAGAGTGTTCTAGACTGTTTTAATAGAGGGAGAGGTATTCTGGAAAGTGTGAGAAGAGCTTTCTAGACCCACAGCATGATTGCAGGCAAAGGCTTATTTTTGTGACCTTGATCTGATATGCCCCGGTTGATTGTATGTTGGAAGGATGCTTTGTTCAGTGAAATGCGGAGTTATTTTAAGGTAGTTGGTCCCTTCTGCAGACAATTTTAAGAAAAAAATCTTTTGGGGGAGGGGCTGTATGGTTTTGCTGACCCTAGCTGAGTTTTCCCACTGAAAAAATGACAAATGTATTTGCCGTGCTTATCCTGAGAGAGCCACATGGATAAAACTCATACATGCTTTAAATTTGCTCCATGTACATTTTTCTTGGGATTTGTTGTGCCTAAGCCTTTGCAGTTCTCACAGATCTGAAAAGAAAGGTTTTTCAACAGTGATATGTTGGAGAGGAACGTTGTAGTGACTGTTTTTACTTGAATGGCTGTATTTATTACATCATGTTCGGCCTATAGGACCTCGTAAACCTGTGCTGGGTTTACTACAACTGTTGAGCTCTGAAGTTTGAAAAAGTCTTCCAAGTGGTCGAGTGTATACATTCTTAAGAACGGTCAAGGGAGCAGTTGTTTTGCTCTCTTAGGTCCTGGTAGATTTAAATTTCTGAAGTCTTCAAAAGATGAAAATGATCTTGCATGTTTATTCCTCTCCCCCTGCCCTTCTTTAAGTCTGGATCAGTCAGGTTCAGGAAGTATTTGAGGGAAGGAAACCTACCTAACCCGTGTGCCAATGACAATCCTGCTTGCATATAAGAATTTTTACTTATTTTTATCCACTGAATTTACATAAGTAATGCTGAAGTTTATAATTGTATGGTTCCTTTAGCCTATGCAGATCACAAAGAGTCAACTGAAAGGAACAAAGTAAAATACAATCAGAGCCAGAAATCTGCAAATTTGGTATCTGATTAGGAAAAAAAGAATTGCCAATTGTTTCTTGGACTCATTCCTTGCAGAAGCAATTTTCAGGACAGTGCAAGCCAAAAAAATCACTTTTCCTATCTACTTGGATGCAGTTAACTAGCTAGTCACCAAATTAATTTTGAAACTTCTCTTCCTCTTAGCTAAGTGCTAGTTGCTTTTAACATTTCTGTATATTAAAGGTTTTTTTACTTGTAGTCAAAATCTCTGTCCTCTGAAGTTAAAAGTTTCAGTGATGTGTTGACCTCTTTTTTCCTCCTTCTGTCTCTAAGATAAAGCTT